GTTATAGCGCAGTGAGAAACTGCGAACTGAACTTCAACAAGGCAGTGACCGTAATCAATTAGATTCTTATTCAATTGAGTTTATGTGGAGGCATCAACGCCTTAAATTGTAAATATTTCAGATATTTTAAATGATATCCGCAGTTTCTTGCCTCCAGTTAATCTTAATTAATCGAATTTGCCTTTTTCCTCCTGAATTTTTGGGCAAGTTATTCACTTTACATTAAAAATTCCTTTACGAATATCGTCTGTTATTTTGGCGATTATTTTTATGCTTCGAATTTTTCTCCGGATCGTCAGCTTTTGGCAATATTTGAATCTGCTCCCGATAACAGAACAGTACCCTCCCCCGCAAAGAAAGAAAAAGAAAAAAGAAAAAAAAAAAAAAAAAACTTTCTTAAAACTTTGTGTGTGCCTTTCGTTCGCGCTGCGCGTAAGCTAATAGACCCACGGCTACGAAATTTGGTACATAGGTGCATCTAGACAAGAGCTAGTGCACCTCGAAGCGATTTTTTTCGAAATTCGAATTCGAATATTTTTTATTTTATGTTTTGTGACGAAATCGCGTCATTTTGAGACATAATGGGCTATAGAAAAGCGATATTTTACTCTACACACTCCATTTTCACATCGTCATGAAACGTAAGCACTTAGCTATTTTACGAACTTAAAATAAATTTCGTGTTTTAATAAATTGATTCAATACGAATTTATTTAACAAAGGGAGCTTAACACCTTTTTCAACGGGTTTTTTTTCTAAAAACGTTTATTTTTAAAAATGTACAGTTTATTTTTCTTTGATTTTTGGACACGTTAAACTTTCATCCTTACGACTGCTTTTACAAAAAGAATTTTGAAAAATGATAATATTTTGTATTTTTAAAAAATTTTAAATGAAGCTTCCGAGTACACTTCTATTAGGAGATAGTATTTTATACTTATTTATTTCCTAACATAAACATGAAGTATAGAACAAGCAAAAGAACATTTATAAATACAAAAACGTAAGTGATGCCATTCACAAAAAGGGTAATGTTATTTTTAATAGTTCGCTGGCTTTGCCGCAACATCCTCCCCACCCTGGTCAACCTCCAGGGGGATGACCAGCTGCACAGGTCGGGTAATGGTATGTCCATTGGTGCGCAGAACACAAGTACGGACTCTTTTGTCGCGGCCAAGGATTAGCTCCTCAACACGGGCCCTTTTCCAGGTGTGGCGAGGTCTAACATCTTCTTGTAGTAGGACAATGTCCCCTTTCCGTATTTTATTTGTTTCAGATGGATTCCGCACTTGATGAAATGTACGCAAGTCCATCAAATATTCCTTTTGCCATCTTTTCCAAAAGGAGTCCATCAAATGTTGACGATTTTTCCACATATGATTTAAATTTGTTTCAGGATTTGTGGGGCTGGAAGGAATAGTGGTTAATTTCTTTCCTATGAGGAAGTGCGAGGGTGTTAAAGCTTCCTCAGAGTCATCTTTTATTCCATATTCGTGGACAATCGGTCTACTGTTAAGAGCGGCTTCAATATCACATAATACAGTGATCAAACCAGCGTCATCCAAAAGAGCCTTACCTAATGTTTTCCGAAGGCATCGCTTAATTGAGCCTAATCATTCTTTCCCACCATCCTCCCCACCAAGCCGCTCGGGGGGCGATGAATTTCCATTTGATGTTGTGGTGGGCATAAAACTGTTGTGCCTTGGCAGAGGATATAGTATCCCACAATAACTTCAGCTCTTTGTCCGCAGCGCAGAAAGTTGTGGCATTATCAGTGTACACTGTATGAGGAAGTGAACGTCTAGAGACAAAACGTTGTAATGCAAGTAGGAAGACGTCAGTACGCAGATCGGAAACTAATTCTAAGTGGATAGCTCGAGTTGTAGCACATGTGAAGATGACAATGTAGGCTTTTGTAACGGAGTTATTATTTTTTACGTAGAGTGGTCCAGCAAAATCAATTCCGGTAGTTTCGAAAGGAGATGACTTTTGAATTCGCTCAGCTGGTAGTGGAGCTTCTATCTGTTCACTTCTCTTTTGTTTCAGTACTTTACATGGAAGGCAAGTCTTTATCACTTTTTAATGGCTTGTCTTGCTCTTAATATCCAATATTCTGAACGAAGCTGAGAAAGTACAATCCGAACACCGAGATGATGCATTCGTAAATGTGTTTGGCGTATCAGTAGGCTTGTAAAAGGATGAGAACCTTCCAATAATATGGGATGTTTTTCAGCATGAGATAAATCAGAAAATTGTAGTCGACCACCAAGAAGTATAATATTGTTCTTGAAGAAAGGGTTAAATTGTTTTATCCTTGATTTCTTAGGGAGTGATTTTCCTGTCAACAGAGCTTCATATTCTGAAGGAAAGGATTCTTTCTGAACGGTCTGTATCCAATAAATACGAGCTTGATTCAGTTCTGTGGCATGTAACTCACCCACTAACTTTTTTTGTTTCCTACAGTTGTGAATAAAGCGAAGAATCCAAGATGTTACACGTAACAATCGAACGTAAGAACTGTAGTTTCCAGCCTTTATGATTGGTTGAGTAGATACGATGTGAAGGGTCTGAACTTTTTCTTTCTTTGCCTCGAAGTTATGACTGTAATCTTGAGAAATAGTATCAGAATGAGGCCAATATTCTAGAGATTTGACTAACCATGGAGGGCCGTTCCACCAAATTTCCAGGTTTTTTAGTGTTGATGGTGAAACACCTCGAGAAAGTTTGTCAGCTGGATTGTCTTTGCCAGGGCAGTGTCTCCATTGTGAAGGATTGGTATAGGAAATAATTTCTGTTACTCTGTTGCTAACAAAAGTTTTCCATTTGTTGGGGTCACTGCGTATCCACCCTAAGACAACTTGAGAATCACTCCACAATGTTGCATTTGACGAACAGATGTTTGTTTCAGCACAGAAATATTGCAACAATCGTGCTCCCATCAGGGCGGCCAAGAGCTCCAAACGAGGTAAGGTAACTTTCTTTATAGGAGCTAGTTTGTTGCGACTACACACTAAATTCACATTCGATTGGTCACCTTTAAAGGTAACAATGTACAGAACTGAACCATAGGCACGTTCAGATGCGTCACAAAACACATGAATAGCAAAAGGAACATGTGATGAAATCCCTATGCATCGAGGAATTTGAAGGGAGCAAATGTCATCAAGTTCTTTCACAGCTGCATACCATAAAGTTGATAAATTAGCAGGTAGTAATTCATCCCACTTGATTCCAAGAATCCATGTATCTTGGAATAAGATTTTCCCAAGAATAGTAAACGGTGAAAAAAGGCCTAAGGGATCATAAAAACTAGCAATGCAGCGGAGTAACCATCTCTTTGTAAGTGGTTTGTCTGTAAAAACACAGAGGGAAGTCTTGAATGCATGCTTCAAAGTATCAGAAGTTGTATTCCAGCCAGCCATACCTAAGACAGTTGTTTCCGTTTTGTGAGATTCTTCATGTGTTTGTAGTACATCTTTGAGTTTCAAAGAGTTTGTAGCCCATTTTTCCATAGGCAATTTTATTAGAGCCATTAAATTCTTGATCTCGTGATATAGCATTATAATGCGTGATTCAGTTTCCATACTAGCAAGAAAGTCATCCATATAGAGATGTTTATCTATCATTGGTGCAGCAATTGGAAATTCTGCGATATGTTTTGCAGCCAATTCTCGTGTCGCAGCACAGAGTAAAAACGGACTGCAAGTAAGGCCAAATGGTAAACGAGTAAATCTGTAAACAGTTATTTCATCTGTAAAAGTAGTAGGTTGAGATGAATCAGATTTTAATTTGTACCAGAAAAATTTTGTGACGTCCCTATCTTCTTTATGTAGTGACAACTGTAAAAAAGCTTGCTTACCATCACATGTAACAGCGAATTCATGCAATCGAAATCTTAGTAGACAACCAATAGATTCAGGAAGAAGATTCGGGCCAGCTTCCAAGGTATCGTTCAGTGAAATCATTCCTGGAGCATGCGAGGAAGCATCAAACACAATTCTCCACTTGGTTTCAGATTGTGTTTTCTTTCTTACAGCATGATGAGGAAGGTAATATACTGGCTTCTCATTGGATTCATCTATGGAACAAACTTCAACATGCTTTTGTTCAATGTAATTCAGCATGCAGTTGTCATATTGTGTCTTTAACACATCACTAGATGCAAGTCTTTTTTTAAGAGAATGAAATCTGTTTTCCGCTATAATTTTGTTTGTAGGCAAAGGTGTGACCAATGGTTTTCTAGGCAGAGACACAATTCTTCGATTGTCTTCAGTGTTGTAAGTTTTGTGAAATTCTGATAAAATTTCTTCATCTCGAGTAGTCATTTTTCGTTTCTGCGCATCTTGTATCCCTATGGAGTCTAATTCCCAGAAGCGACGTACCTGATCATTTAAACAATCAGTTTTAACTTGCACACAAACTTGATGGACAGAAGTCTTCTCAGCGATTGTAGTATGTGTTCTTGTTCCACTAAGAACCCATCCAAACACTGACGGTACCATAACAAAAGATTCTGAAAGCTTGATTGGAGCTTCTGTGGGAAACAATTTGCCAATAATGATCACCACCAATAAGTATTTCTATGGGCAGTGAAGAGTCATCCGGAGGATCAGCAATTCTCAATCTTTTCTTCTGAGCAAAGTGAACTATTTCTGGTGGAGCAGTAGGATGTGTAGTATAGGAATTGGAGCTTTCAAATGCGGAGATCAAAAATGCTTGGTTGCTCCACAAACTTGAAAGTGACAGTTGAACACATCTACGTTGTTCTTGTGAAGTAAAAGATTCAAATGCTTGAACTGAAAGTGAGGCAGAACTGACAACTTTAAGCTTCAGTTTTTCAATGAGGTTTGTGTGAACAAAACTTGCTTGGCTACCACCATCTAAAATGCAACGTGTTAATTTAGTAATGCCTGTGGGGCCAGTAACGTACACACGAGCAGTTTGCAAATGTGTGAAAATTGTTTTAGGAAAGGTTATGTGATTTACAGCACTGTTAGTTATCCGCAGTTGATTGTTTTCAACAGGAGGACAAATAGAAACATGATGCCTTTTCTTGCATTTAGTGCACCGTGCAGTATTTTTTCTTGGGCAGTTTGAAACTCTATGACCACGGTTAGTACACAGAAAGCAGCGATTTGAAGTTTTAAGTTTCTGAACACGAGTATCATAGTCTGTAACAGTTTCACAATATTGAGGCCAATGTCCTGTAGTATCACAAAATGAACAAAATGGTGAAATTTTCTTACGTTTGTTTACTGTTTTGGAATTGATATTAAAATTTTCTACAGTGCACTTTACGGTGTGATCAGAAAAAGACGTACCTTTAACTCTTTGTGCTGCAACTACACCTTCCACTTCTTCTGCCAAGAACTGCATCAATCTAGTAATATTACCTTCGTTTAGTTTTTCACGCTTGGCATAGATAATCCAGCGGCAACAAATATCATTGGGGAATGCACGAATAATTTTTGGCACTAGGATTCTACCGTATGCTTCAATATTTTCACCCAGAGCAGTTAAAGCTTGAATTCTTCTGTTACATTCTATGTAAAGATCATTTAGATGCGTAGGAGATGGGTCTTGAATAACATTTAAATGTTCTAAGTAATCTAAGTGTGATTGGATAATTCGATCTTTATTTCCATATCTTTCCTCCAACAATTTTTTTGTTGTTTCATAGGTGTCTCCTATTACACTAATTCCATCAACAAGGCGTTTAGCTTCACCATCTAAATAACCTCTGAGGAAAACATGTTTATCAATAACAGAAAGATGTGGATTGGCATCTATAGAAGATTTAAACTGTTCCCAAAAACATTGCCACTGTTCAATTTCTCCTGTAAATGACTGTAGTTTAATTGTTGGCAATTTAACTGTATATGGTTGAGTCATAGGCACTGTAGTAGGAGGGTCGCCAAATGTCATCGCTAAATCATTGGTATCCATATTCGAAGCAGTAACATTATTTGGAGTTGGCGATAATTTATTTTGAATAATTTTTCGTGCTTTGAAAATTGCGGATTCACCAGTATCTATGTAGTTTTCACACTGCAAATTATCACTTTCATATTCATCGTCAGAAAGGAAGTTGTGAATTTCGTTATCTATTAGTTTCATATCATTTAAAGCAGTTGTTAAGCGATTACAAATATATTCAACTTTCTCAATTGAGAAATCATCGTTCAAAGTATCAATTTCAGTAGAAAAGCGAGAAACATTACTTCGCACGGCTTTCCGCTTTCGTTTCAGTTGCGTCATTTTGTCTACAGCTTCACCGGTCGGCGCCATTGCCCGAGTAGTAGAAAAGAACAAAAACAAAACTAAGTTTTAATGTCGGAAGTAAAATATTTCAGCAAGAATAATCCAACAGTAGGAAGTATAAGTTCAAGGTCCTGTTTCGTAAATGGTTTTTTCGGCACCAGATATTAGGAGATAGTATTTTATACTTATTTATTTCCTAACATAAACATGAAGTATAGAACAAGCAAAAGACATTATAAAATACAAAAACGTAAGTGATGCCATTCACAAAAAGGGGTAATGTTATTTTTAATAGTTCGCTGGCTTTCCCGCAACACCTTGAGACGATCCTTATACAGCCTTAAACAGGCTCAACGACGTCCGGATCCTAAGTCATCAAATTTTAAGCCTAAAGTCGTTCATTACAATAGGCTAGTCCTATAGGTCATTACAATAGGCAATTACAATAGTTTATTACAGTAGTCCGTTGTCCCCATAGTTTATACAACATCAACAGTGCATTAAGACCATGGTCATACTTGTACGTAAATTTGTAAATTTATGCATTTATTTATTGATTGATTATTTGATTTGTTTGTGTTACTTATGAAAATTATTTTTCTAGTATTGCGTTTCTAGTTGTATGGACGGCTTCTTGTGCAGGGATTGTGCTGCCCTGTACGCGTTGTCCTTGGCAAGGGGTCAATGTTTGGGATTTTGTGTATATTTAAATAATTTTAGTGAAACTATATGTGAAGTTGTAATACCTTTCTGTGTAATGTAACATGGAAATCTAAAGAAGAGAAGCTTTGTCAGAAAGAGGCAAGTCTGCTTGACAGAGAGCAGACTTTGTAAGAGAGGCAAGTCTGCTTGACATTGGGTAAACGTCTATTGCAGTTATGCAGAGACTGGACCAAAATATCGCCAAGCTTGGCAACTTTTAGAAATTACTTGCCAAATTCGGCATCAAAAATTAATAGCCTAAACCATCGCCAGCTTATGATATCTTACCACTTTAACGAGATAGCCACTTACTCAATGTTAAATTGACTTGCCCTTGTATTCTTATACTTCCCGCACAGAATCCTCTCTTTCGAGCATTTCATGATACATTATACAGAAATACGAAATTTTCACATATTGATTTCAGTAAAATTATTTACATATACACAAAATTTGTAAACTGCTCCTTTCCCAAGGACAGCACGCCCCGGGCAGTGCAGTCGGTCACAAAAGTATTCGAACACCGGCACCCATTCAGAAAATTTACTTTTCCGTTGAGAAACAAAATTGTCTCCAGAGTCCATCTTGGTTCGATAGAAAAAAAACAAAAGGATGGCTCATGTCCAAAATTGGCTAGGTGCATGAAACAAAATAAAACATGACCTATCTGGGTGAGATGGGAAACAAAATGGCTGCTCACGTGATCCATTATTGCGCTCAGAGAAAACGCAAAGGGTCGCTGCGCCCCGTCTCGGTTCGCGAAGAGTGAAAACCCAAAAGATTCTGCAGTGTCTATCTTTGTTGGATGAGAAAACAAAAGGATGACTCATGTCTAATTTATTTAGGTGTGGGAAAAAATATAACGTGACCTATCTGGGTGAGATGTCTCCAGCGATCCAGTATAGACTTTTCCCCCATCTGCAATAGGTGACATCTATAAAACAATTCCATTGAAATCTCCTCGAAATATAAGGAACAGCTAGCTCGTGAAATTGTAAGGTATTCCCAAAGAATTCCACTTGTTTGAAAGAAAAAAACATCCTAGATCTAGAGAGGTAGAGTGAGAGAAAAAGCATGCTGCACCTTGGACAGCCCGCACAGTTTCTGAACAGAAAACGTGGAATGCTTTTATCGAAAAGAGTTGAAAGTGAAAGTAAAAACCAAATCGTCTTGGGTGGAAAATTTTCTCTTGGCTGTCGACTGGGAAAAATTTTTTTCAAACCTCAGAAAAAAATTCTGAGATGTTAAAAAAAAAAAAAAAAAAAAAAAAAAACCTTTCGTTATTTTTATCATGTTTTCTAGACATGATAAAAATTAACCCTACCCCCTTTAATGTGGGAATGTTGTCTCACTGTTTCTAAAATAGACCATGACTCATTCTAGGAATTATATGTTTAAGAAAGGATGAGTCATGGTCTTTGGGTTTCTCCATTCCAAAGTAAACAAAGTGAAGACATCAATTTAATAGAAAAAAAGGAAGAGGTTTTTTTTTTTTTTTTCAGCTCTGGAAATATTTTTCCCCATTCAACAGCCAATAAATATTTCCAGCCAATACAATTTCATTTTTACTTTCACTTTCAATTCATTTCTTATATCTATAAGAACATTTCATGTTTCTGTTCAGATCAGTGTGGGTAGTTCAAGATGCAGCAACTCTACTCCATCCCACACCAGGAAAAAAAGATGTTCTTTCATGAGGAATTCTTTTGGCTATCGAAACAATGATGACATGATGATTGTAATACATTTCTGTTCTCATGTCCCATGCTTGAACTCAGAATTATTTCCAGAACTCTGAGAATTTTTCCTAGTCAGCTCGATGACCCAACTTTCGTATATTTATTTTTTAAGCCACTCGAGTTTCGACTTCCCATCCGTGTGTGCTGTGCATTCAACCTAGAGACC